ATTACTAATTTTTTTAAGATGCATTAACTGAGTCATCATATCACGGGCACTCATATATGTATAATGTATTATATATATAGAGAGAGAGTGTGTGTGTGTGTATGCAGTAGTGTGGGATGGAGAAATTCAGAAATTAATTGATGTTCTGAGAAATTTCAAAATTGCATGAAAAGATCAGAGATGGATGGAAGCTATGAATGCACATACAGGCCAGGCGGATTCATTTAATATATGTTTGATTATTGGAGGTGAGTCAACGAGCTTGAAATGAAATATATACATGCATGGCTGACACTTGGAGATCCAAGCTCTCAGCCTTCTTCGTCAACCTGTTACGCATGCATTGCATGTATCTGCAGATGGGTTTTTATAGATATAATAATTATATACATAGGCCAGGTTTAGGTCCAATTCATATTGACAATAACGTGATGGAGAAAGATCATCTTAGTTTTAAGAATATAATAATAATAAAATTTTCGTCTTTAAGTTATAAGATAATTGTAAAATTCGTCTCTAAATTATTATCGACGTTGCACTTTTCATTCTTTCGTGCTCACTTTTCGTCCATGCGTTATGCTAAAATTGTAAATTTGTGAATTTCTGTGTAATAAGCTGCAAACCAAGACAGTAAACCACAATTAGAAAGAGTCCGTATGTGTAGTTAATTCGAAAAAAGAGTTTTAGTAATAATCAAACTTGTAAACTTTAAGGATTCGTGTTTCTAATAATGTTTTGACAATTTGTCACATATCGGTTCAAAAAAGATTTTGGCAATACATACATATTATGTATGGTTTCTATGAATTTCAATTACGAATGTATGTTTATATATAATTGCAGATCGAAAAGTGTTGGCAAGATGATGAATAACTTTTCCAGATCCCATGCATCGTCAACAACTGACGAATATTAATTGCAGTGTTATAAATTCCCATGCCATATATATATATATATATATATATATATATATATATATATATATATATATATATATATATATATATATATATATTTGCTAATCTGCTAGCTAGCTGTTGGATTCATAAGTGTAGTGTCGAATTTTGCTCATCATGTCACTCCCTCTCAAGCCCAGAGCCAGACAAGTGTAAAGTAAACACTTCACCTAACTTGCATGAATATATTGCATGTTAATTATTACTCTTCCATACCCTTTTCTGTAAAAATAAAAAATTAAAAAAATTGATATATTTTTTGGTATGGTACTTTTTACCAAAAAAAAAAAAAAATGGATTAATATATTTATACTTTTTTTTAATCATTTTTTAAAAGAATTATAAGAGTAGGAAATTAACATTGAATTTTTTGAGGCCAAATTATAAATTTCCTAATGTAATATTGTTTATACATACTTTCCCAATCTATTGAAGCATCGCACCCCCACTGGGGTTGGAATCTGTTATTATGACTCTATGTATTTGAGTCACATTATGACTCCTTATCCTAGCTAGTCTCCCTATGATATATACCCTCAATATGTACAGTTGTATTTACTGTTCATCTAATACAATTATACAGTTCTCATATGGTCTCAGCTAAGCTAGCTAGGGTTTCGTTCCCATGACTGACGAATCTGTTAACTCCTCTAAACGGATTGTCTCCGATGTCGCTATCACTTCCTTGGATATCATGGGTGTTAACTCGCTTTCTACTGCACATCACTTCATCAGTATTAAGCTCACCCATAAAAACTACATGTTCTGGAGAACGCAAGTTGTTCCGTTCTTGGACAAACACGACCTGATGTGTTTTGTCAACGACAGCATCCCCTGTCCAGCGGCCTTTCTCCCATCCGGCGTTGACGCGATACCACAGCCTAATCCCGCCTACGAGCAGTGGTTCCGTCATGACTGAGCTCTCATGTCAGTCTATACAGTTGTATTTACTGTTCATCTAAACAGTTATACAGTTCTCATCCCTGTGACATCCTATTTGAGAGAGTCACAGTTATACCGCTTGACCACAAGATCTTTGAAATGCCTCTGATTTGATCATGTGGATAAATTTATCATATAAAAGTGATACTATGACACTGCATGTATGCTTACTTTTTTTTTTTTTTTTGTTTTTTTTTTGTTTTTGTTTTTGTACATCTGATATGATGAGTCTGCCAAATTAAACTGCATGTATGCTTATTTAGGAACTTATAGCTTATTTTAAGCTACTAATAAGCTATAAGCTCTGTTTGGTAATGTTCTCAAAATAAACTCGTAACTTAAAATAAGAGCTTATTTTGGAACGCTACCTATACCTTAGGTAGCGTTTCAAAATAAGCTAGTAGTTTCTTCTAACTTTTTTTTCCATCTTTGTCTTTATTATTTTAAAGAAATGACATCATTTACCCTTTCCGATTAATATCCTTTTCTCTTCTCCTTTATCAACTTTCACCACAATTATTATTATTGTTGTTGTTGTTGTTGTTGTTGTTGTTGTTGTTATTATTATTATTATTATTATTATTATTCCAAAGGCTAAACCCCAACCCTAAGGGCCCCCCACACCCCGGCTATTATTATTATTATTATTATTATTATTATTATTATTATTATTATTATTATTATTATTATTATTATTATTATTATTATTATTGGATGAAGGAGATTCGCAACAATATTGCTACTTCATTATGAGATGTTAGATCATGATTATGCTAATAATTTTATTTCAAAATGTTAATTTTTTTAAGACAAAATGTTAAATCTTAATATGTAAACAAACTAATTTAAATTTTATGAAGATGTTCTTTTTTGTGTTTTTACATTAATCAACTTATCAAAAAATTAATTTTACCAAACACTTTCAAGCATAAAAGTTAGCAATATCTCTTCAGTTTTCAGCTCATAGCTTTTAGCTTTCAGCTCTTTTTAAGCTTTCAACTATCTTTTCAGCTAAGTTTGCCAAACACAGCCGATATAATCTGCTTGATTTAAAAAATACTGGCATTGCATATTCTTTCTCCAATAAAATATAATAAAATTCAAACACCTGGATTATCATTTTCCTATCATACCGGACTAACATATGTCGTATATGATTTCCCTATCATACAGGGACATGTAGAATCACGAGATTATGTTACGTTGTTCACCAGACCAAATTTTGTGAGGAAAATAATGCAAATTAAATTATTGTATTCTTAGTATTCCTCTTGGCCGAGAGAATGAGATCAATGTTACACCTCGAGATTCAATAAGTATATATTAGATTGTGATGGTCCCGGTGGAATAAGAGAAAAAGTCTAAATGAAGAGTGAATATACTTTTAAAAGATTTTTATGAAGGATTATAACTTTATAAGTTGACAAAACACTTCAAAATTTTTAGACTAAGTTAAAATTTTAACACTCTCTTTAAAAGGTTATATTGACTACTTAATTAACTAAATAGTCCACCAAAGAAATTAGTTTGATAAAAATAATGTTACAAGCGGAATAAAGTGTTTTTCAAGATAAATTAAAATTAAACTTGAATAAATATGAGATATGACACAATGCATGCTTTAGTAACATGTGGTTATGCAAGTTCCATTTGGGCACAATCTCACCTTCCAATCCCATGATAACAACAAATATTTTTCATACTTGGTTTAGTGATCTATTAAATATTTTAGACGCTAACCAAATTGTTCACGCAGCTGCACTTTTATATTATATTTGGAGAACCAGAAACGGAGTAGTATGGGATGCATGTCTACCGCGACCACGGAAAGTGATAGCCTTGGCCGAAGCCACCACACTTGCATGGCAACGTATCCACCCGACCCATCGCCAACCAAACCACCAAGCTGCCGCACAGGGTCCTATTATCGCCACTGCCGTGACACGGCAGCAGCAGCAACGAACCGCTGTCGACGGCCTTGTGGCTACCGAGGAGGGAGTACGACTGGAGGCAACCGAGCCAATACGGAGATGTTATGTCGATGCTGGGTTTATGCCGGCTACAGGAAAAGCTATGGTTGGCGCGATTTGATAAAAATAATGTTACAAGCGGAATAAAGTGTTTTTCAAGATAAATTAAAATTAAACTTGAATAAATATGAGATATGACAAAGTAAGTAAAATAAGGTGCATAAATATGAACGACACGAAAGATTATTTCATAGTAATTTGAAAGTGATGTAATCTTCCTACTACACTCTTTTCATATCATCCAGGAAGATATTCACTATCATTAGTATCTCCACACAATTACAATGAATAAGGGAAACAAGTGTTGATCATATAGACATTAATGTGCAATCCAACTACGAGTTTAGGCTTTTAGTTGAGATTGAGCACATGCTTCAATTTGGTATCAGAGTTAGACCAAAGGTCATGGGTCCGAAGCAATTTGACTTAATGCGACCTTTAAGAAACTTTCCTGAAAATGCATGTATCCACCTTGAATAGTATTTCAACACTCCAAAAACAGTAAGGATCTAACAAAGAAGCTAAGGTTGGTAAAAAAAATTGTTGCTTACCGTCCTACTATTATAAGCTTTCTTGGTTATATCAAATTAATATATGTATCCTAAGTTACACTCATCAAAATTGAATTAAACTTACTTCTAAAAGATTGTAATGTGCATGCACAACATTTTGACCAGATTCATACTATGATATATACTTCTTTGAAGACAACATATATACAGGCCAGACACTGTAAATGGAAAACGTGAAATCTTACCCTCTGATTATTCTACATTTCTACCGGCCGCGCCAAGGTTGACAATGTCACAAGCTAAGCTATGAACCTTAATGACTCTCTTCTTTTGATTCACCTAACTCTGCGCCATGCAACAATATAATGCTACTCTCGAGATTGTTAGGGTTCATTTTAATGCATTTACTCTCTTCCTTCAATTCAATTCTCCCAACTGTTGCCTACCCTTCATTCTCACTATAAATACCCACCGTCTCACCTCTTCTCTCAACATCACGAGAACAACTTAATTAGCTTCTCTTTGAATATATATATATAGAGAGAGAGAGAGAGGAAAAAATGGCGAAAAGTTTGTATGTAATGTTTGTTCTTGCAGTGGTGGTGGCGCATGCGACGGCGCGTAACATTCCCGATGCTACGAAGCCTAGCGCCGCCGTGAATCCTGGCGGCACGCAGGATCTGACGGTGAACCCGAAAACCGTAGAGCCTGCCATGGCGCCCGGCGCAGTTGATGACAAGAAGAACCTTATAGTTGGCGGCATTGGAGGCTGGGCTGGGGTCGGCTACGTGCTTCCGGCCATTGGCGGCGTGGCCGGAGGAGTTGGCGGTGCAAGCGGCCTGGGTGGTGCCGGCGGGCTCGGCGGCGCTGGAGGCGGGATTGGTGGCGCAAGTGGACTTGGAGGAGGGATTGGCGGCGCGAGTGGACTCGGTGGGCTCGGTGGCGCGAGTGGACTCGGCGGGCTTGGTGGCGCGAGTGGACTCGGCGGACTCGGTGGCGCTAGTGGTCTCGGAGGGCTTGGTGGATTTGGTGGCGCGAGTGGGATCGGTGGAGGAATCGGCGGTGGGATTGGCAAAATTATTCCATAGAATTTCTAGCTAGCTAGATATGATGAAAGCTTTAAATTGCGTTATTTTGTGTTGGTTAAGTTGCTCTTTTTTAGTTAGTGCCTTTAATTTGGATTTTTCATGCATGCATGTATGTTGTGTGTCTACGTAGCTAGTAGCAATCTAGTATTATATATTAGGTTGTGCCGTGTTTTATTTCCAGCCTCACGTACTCATGTAATTCCCGTTTGAAATTTATTACCAGCTTCTATAATTATTTTCATGAGCTACTGTTTAATATCTTATGGTTATCAAGCTATGTAGTATATATAGTCTTTAGCTCTTAAGCAAATTTAGTATATATAGTCTTTAGCTCTTAAGCAAATTAAATTAAGTCCACATGCATTTTCAAAAAAAAAAAAAAATTAAGTCCACATGCATTTTGCATGAAAACAGTGCTATATATATATATATATATATATATATATATATATATATATATATATATATATATATATCACGAATTGGTTAATCTCATTTAATTTTTTTATTATTATTTTCTTTAATATTTTTTTTTAATAATTTTAAATATAAATTTTAATATTACTTTTAATCTGATGTAGTTTTTAAATATATAAATTTTATATACTCTAAAAAGTTGACTTTTAGATAATAACTTTAAAGCTTTACCTAGTAAAATATCCTTTCAAAAAAAATCTATAAAATATGATGCAGGAGGTAATTAATAAATAGTTCACTTGGCAATCAAATAAAACATTTATCTAGTAATTAATAATGACAAGGCAATGTTAAATGTCCGTCTCTTATATTCTTTTTTGTACTAGTGTAACTTGGCTTATAGCACTATTGATACAACCCACCATAACTATCTAAGTATGTGCATTGTCGTCTAGCTCAACTGGCCGATCACAATATATGACCAAGACAGGCTAATTAACCAAGAAGTACCATGTTAGTCCACTTGCGATGCATACATACATTATTATGGCATAAACAACTTGGATAATGTATAAATATTGAATTTAAGCAGGTGTAACTCCAATTCAAGATCAATACACAATCGATCAGCTAATGACAAATTGATAATGTGCGCAACAGAGTTAAAGAGAAATAGTTAATGAACTAGTTCCACCGTAGTTCAGAAACAAATTCACACAGATAGCAAGCAGCAAGTAATCAAGAAGAACACGCAATAACACAGGAATAGAAATTTCTTAACTTAGTATGGAATAACCATTCTTACATCTAGGGGCGTACCACAGAAATGATAGCCCAATTCATCATTCATAATCAACAACGTTTTACTAAACACAATGATTAGAACGAAGCACGTCGAACACGAAGAAACTTCTTGAAGAATTGATGAAGGATCTCCCGATCTTTCAAGTTGAGTCTCCCCCTCAACTGCAGCTCTCGCGAGTTGTATTCTTGTGGTAACAGCCCGAAATCATCAAAGATAAAATCCAACTTGATATGAATGTAAATTCATCTAGTTGCTCCGTTAAGCTCCTTGAAATTGCCATTACTATTTTCTGAAATTTTACAGCGTAATTCTTAAATAGTTAGGGGTAGCTGGAAGAGAGTTAAGGCTTTTATATTCTTATTCCGGATAACTATCTTCTAAACTTGTCTTGTTAATTGGTTCAAGCCTTGTCTTCAATCTTCAATGTCTGTCAGCATTATTAGGACTCTATGTATATGAGTCTGTTTAGAACTTCTTATCCTTGTCACACTGTGACTCTCTACTTCTTATCATTGTCACATTGTGACTCTCTATTCTATATATTCACATCATCTGATCTCATTGTAATTAAGTTCAGAAAATATAATACAATCAGTTCTCATCTGGTATCAGTAAGCTAGGATTTTGTGATTCATAAAATTAAGAAGATGCAGCGCTGCGATGGCAACCTTAATTACCGTGGAGGTCAGCAACGTGGCTTCGATGATCCGTGTCAAATCTGTAAAGGATTCGGCCACACAGGAGTCAATTGTTTTTGGCGCTATGATGATCCGTGTCAAATTTGTAAACGTTTTGGTCACACGGGAGCCAATTGTTTTTGGCGCTATGATGATCCGTGTCAAATTTGTAAACGTTTTGGTCACACGGGAGCCAATTGTTTTTGGCGCTATAATGATCCGTGTCAAATTTGCAAAAGTTTCGGTCACACGGGAGTCAACTATTTTCGGCGATATTCAGGGGCTCCGGGTTCTCAGGCTAATTTGGTGTTTCAGAATGGTTTAGTTGCTAAAACCTCGTCAAATTCTCATACTTGGGTTCCGGACACTGGAGCCACAAATCATGCAACTCCGAACATCGCTGCCCTTTCTACATCGGAGAAGTACACTGGTAATGACACTTTACGTGTCGGTGACGGTATGGGTTTATCTATTAGTCATGTTGGCCATGCCTCTTTTAATACCCCTTCTAGATCATTTACATTGTCTGATATACTTCACGTTCCGCGTTTGTCTAATTCTTTATTATCTGTTCAGAAGTTTGCATCCGATAATAAAGTCTTTTTTGAGTTTCACCCCTCCTTTTTTGTTGTAAAAGATATCAATACCAAGGAAATACTTCTTCGGGGCAATAGTTTGGGGGGACTATACACACTTTCATTACCTAGTTCGTCTCCGTCAGCGTTTATTTCCGCTCGTGCCTCGGCTTCCACTTGGCACAATCGTCTAGGTCATCCTCATAACCATGTTCTTAGCCATATACTTCGTTCTTGTTTGGTTAGTGGGTCTCGTGATAATATTCGTTGTCATAATTCTTTATGCAATGTGTGTCAATTAGGCAAATCTGCCCGTTTTCCCCTCCCCCGTGTTGCTTCCTCTAGTTCTCAAGTCCTAGATCTTATTTACACAGACATTTGGGGTCCTGCGCCCATTTTATCTACTTCTGGCTTCCGTTATTTTGTGATCTTTGTGGATGACTATTCCCGTTATACATGGTTCTTTCCTATGAAATTAAAGTCTGATCTTTATGTCATCTTTGATAAATTTCGTACTCTTGTTGAACGGTCCTTTAATTGCAAAATAAAGGCCATTCAGTCTGATTTAGGCGCTGAGTACAAAAAGTTGCATTCTTTGTTTGTTCAATTAGGAATTCAACATAGACAATCCTGTGCCTATACACATGAACAGAATGGTCGTGTTGAACGAAAACATCGTCACATTGTTGAAACTGGTCTGGCTCTTCTAGCTCATGCCTCTGTTCCTTTGAAATTTTGGGATTTTGCCTTTGAATAATTAACAGAATGCCATCTTCTGTATTAAATAACTCCAGTCCTCATCTCCTGTTACATAAATCCCCTCCTTCCTATCTTTTTCTTCGTGTCTTTGGGTGTTTATGCTACCCTCATCTTCGACCATATAATCGTCATAAGATGTCATACAGGTCTTCTCCATGTGTCTTCCTAGGTTATCCTGAGTCCTTTAGGGGGTACAGATGCATGGACTTACATACTAATAAGATTTACACATGCAGGCATGTCAGATTTGATGAAGAAGTTTTCCCCTTTGCTACTAAAACTTCTTTGCAGGATCTATCTACTCCGTTTTCTGGACCTTGGGCGGAATCTGTTCTCAGTCACAACACACATATTCCTGCCGTGTCCAATGATGAGCTGCCAGAACCGCCGCTACCTGCTTCATTCGAACCAGCCGTGGTTCCTGGACAGGCTGCCTCGTCGGGTGATCCTGTGGAGCCTGTTGCTCGTCGGCGAGGCCGTCCACGTGGGCGGTCCATCAGGCCCAATGTCCGTACTCACTCTATGGCCACTCGCAGCAACGCAGATGCTCCTCTTTTTGCTCTAGCAGCTCAAGTGCATCCCACGGAACCCACATGTTACTCTCAAGCTGTCAAATATCCTGAGTGGCGTGAAGCCATGGACCAAGAATTCAATGCTCTCCTGCATAACCACACATGGTCTCTAGTTCCACCCACTGCAGGTATGAATATTATTGGCTGTAAATGGGTGTTTCGTACGAAGAGAAAGGCTGATGGTGCTATTGAAAGGCATAAAGCCAGGCTGGTTGCGAAAGGTTTTAATCAGGTTCCAGGTCAGGACTTCTTCGACACTTTTAGTCCAGTGGTAAAGCCTACGACTGTAAGACTCCTTCTATCTCTAGCTTTATCATCTGGGTGGTCTATCAAACAGCTAGATGTTCATAATGCTTTTCTGAATGGTAATCTGGCTGAAACAGTTTATATGAAGCAACCCCCTGGTTATATTGATGCTAACTTCCCGAATCATGTTTGTTTGTTAAAAAGATCTCTGTATGGGTTAAAACAAGCTCCTAGAGCTTGGTTTAATCGACTACATACGTTCTTACTATCGGTTGGCTTTCAAGCATCCAAGACAGATGTCTCTCTGTTCTATTACTCTAAAGACTCTACTTTGGTTTATCTATTGGTGTACGTGGATGACATTCTTGTAATGGGAAGTGATCAAGGTATTATGTCTCAGCTCTTGTCCAAACTGTCTGCTACATTCAAAATCAGAGATCTTGGTGAACCAAATTTTTTTCTGGATATTGAAACAGTTAAGAGTGACAATGGGATTATTTTATCTCAACAACGGTATATGAATGATATTTTAAAACGGGCTGGAATGTCTGAATGCAAACCCCTTTCTACACCTATCTCTGTCTCGAAAACTGTCCCCTTCAATTCAGATCTATATGATGATCCCACACAGTACAGGAGTCTAGCTGGAGCACTGCAATATCTCACTGTCACACGACCTGACCTATCCTTTGCAGTTAATCAGTTATGCCAGCATATGCATGCCCCCACCATATCACACTGGGAGCAGCTCAAACGGGTACTCAGGTATGTTAAGGGAACAGTTGATCATGGTTTACGCATACGACGGTGCTCATCTAGAGACATTCATGCTTTCTCTGATTCTGATTGGGCTGGTTGTCCTGACGATCGAAAATCCACGAGTGGTTTTGCTGTTTTCTTGGGGAGTAATCTTATATCATGGGTTTGCAAGAAACAGAGAACTGTTGCC